TATGTTTATACACCTTTACAATTCTACAAAAGGTCTCAACAGAAAATGAGTGCTCTCCTTCTAGGTGCCTCTTTGCAAGCACAGCAGTACTAATACCTTTTCCTCCAAAGGGGATAGAATTCCTCTCTACCTAATAATAATCTTTCAGGAAATAAATGTGAACAATCCAAAGAAAATATTGCATTTTATCCTTTTAAAAAATGAAGATGGAAGATTTCTTTTTCTATAATATGGGGGAGGTGGGGTAGGAGGTTGTTAAGTTAATTTTGTGACCAGTTGACAAGTGAACTAACTAATCCTCTAGTAACCCTGCAGAGTATCTCAACCAGACTAAACATATCACATATAGTGAAAGGTAAATAATATTTACTATATTTAAAGAGTGAGAAAATAAGTCAAGATTTATAGCTTTAACTTACTCTAATCATATCTTTCTCCAAAGGATATTTGATTGTTTAGTCTATCCTGGTAGCCAAGTATTTTGAATTATATCTTTTCTGGCATTATATAATTAAAGATTAATTTGTAACTCTGAAGAACAAAGCAGAGGATATTCCTTTTAACAGTCTTTACATTAATGAACCAAAATTTTTGCCAAGCTGTTTTGTAGGAGATTTTAATAAGCTTTTTTTTCATCCGATACTTGAAAAACAAAAATACTATATACTTTAAATAACACATGTTCCTGTTCAAAACATTAAAATTAAGTGCTTTAGGGGGAAAGTTTAATGCACCACGACCACCAAAATGATTTTATATATTTCTTCGAAAAACCCTACAACTCTATTTCAAAGTAAAATTGATCAGTTACAAATAGCTTTGAGATTGTGCAGTCATTTATATACTCTCGGTGTTTTACAGTGAAGGAAATAAGCACTTCACAACCCAGAAGGATCATACCTGAAATGGCTTAGAACTGCTGATGTGGAGTGTTTGTCTGATCCATCTGTTCTCTTGATTTCCGAACTTGTACCACAAGGGCCATCCCATAGCATTACTCACAGTTCTTTTGAAGACCGACAGCTTGTAAACTTGTTTTCCAAACATGTGATAATGAAAGCGGAAAACACAGGTTCCATTGCCAGAAGGGCTGAAGAGAGGACTAAGCAAAACTGCTTTGTCTTGGAATTGGCGTGGCTCAGAGGATTCCATGTAAATGTAGTGACCCCTGACTGTGCCTGTCGTGTGATCCTTTAAAGGGCCTGTATTAACCGTGGGGGTTGGACCTCGTATTCTAATCCAGTCAAAGTCATCCTTTACGCTCTGTTCCCAATTGCACAGCCCATTTTCAAAGTTACACTGTAGGTCAGGGTCTAAAATGTAAACAGAACAGATTGTAAATCTATTTAACAGATTGTAAATCTTTTAAATTTAAAAAAAAGCAGTAACAAGGGGGATAATGCATTATTATATTTGTTATCCTTGCAAAAAGTCTTTCAAATTTACAGAAAAAGACTATATCTTCTCCTTGAAAACATTCCTGTCTGAAGGATAAATATGTACATAAAATAATTACCTTCTCTTTTAATACATATCTGTCAAACTGCACATAATTTATTGAATAAGTTGAACTGTGAAAAACATTTCATTATCCGTCTTATTAATTTCATGTATTATTACAATTAAATCATGCAAAGTTATTTAACTGAAACTGAACTGAGCAAAGGAGTTAAAACTGAGGTTAATTAAATGAAATAAGCCACAGGATACAGTCTTGCAGGTATGTGTAATAAGTGATCTGATTTTTGCATGTAGTCCTAAAAATAGGTTGTTGTTGTGTTTTAGATCTTTATTATCCTCAATAATAGTAGCACTATAGCTTTATCAAGGCTAAATTCAAGAGAGGCTTTATAACACAATTGCACTTTTTTACTTGACACCAAAGCAAAATATATTGATTAGCCCAATTACTTCGAATGTAAAACAATAAAATGTGTCAGGGGTGGTGAACTTGCATTCCAACTTTGCATCTGCTCTTCATAAACAGTAACTAAAACTATAGCCAATTTTTTTTTTTTTAATTAAGCTGTTACCTTTAATGATGTTTAAAACTGCAACTCATATTTTACTGTGGACATCAAAATGGGTTATAAAGAAGATAGTCATTGCACAGGGGGAAAACTGAGATAGGAAAGCCTTCACTTTCTTTGAAATTCAAAGCAGTTTTAAGTTGATAATTGGCAAATATGCCTGTAGACTGATAACCCCTCAAGTATGTAACATATCCCAAGTTTCTTGAACTGATTGTGATTTGCATAATTTAGTTACCTTAGGATGTGATAAAGCAAGTGCTAGTTAATTTTATTTTATATTAATGTTCTTGAGTTCTTAAAATTGATGCATGCTTCAGGGAGAAAACCATCAACAGCACCCTTCAGCACTGCAAGGTGAGCATCAAAAGTGTGAATGACTCTGGGCTTTCTTCAGTACTTACAAGTTCTTTCCTTGAAAGGGATAATTATGTCCAGCATGAATACTATCTTTAGTACAGATATTTTAATATTTTTTTGATAGTAACAGTATAAGTCATAAGAAAAGAGATGACATACACTCCTCTCAGTCCATCACTATGTCTTACACTGGACTTTCATCAGTATAATGAAAGATAGCATGCTGACCCAAATCAACTGGTAGACTGCAAATTTTCTCTTTTAAAATAACCTTGTAATGCATGTTCATGCTTTACATGAGTTCAAGAAATATAACTGGTTTGGATAAGGGAGATTGAATTGCATTTACCCTCAGTTGTAACTCATCATATGCATTTAGGTTTAAAATTATCATTCTGTTTCATCAGTAACTGTATTTGGTGGAATCATCACTGGCTATGACATTGATAGGCTGTAACAGTTCTGTATTTTTTCACTCCAGGGTTGAACTGGCAAGTAAGTTTTTGTGTGATGTAAGGCAAGTAATAATGGAAATTACTTACTACAGTTCTCTTCATCTGATCCATCCCCACAGTCATCCACAAGATCACAGACCAACAAACTGTCAATACATGCTTTTGTCTTTTTGCACCAAAAGTGATTTGGACCTTCACAACTTAATGCTGGAGGTGAGAGAGCACAGTTTTCAAATCTAATATCATCAATTGCTGAGACACCGTCATAAAAACCCAGACTGATTTTATCAAGTGAAAATTGGAAAGGATGTGGAAGGCGTCCAAGTTGAATGACTGCCTTCAACCACTGATTTCCCTCGTTGTAGTATGTCCTCCAAAGGACAGTAGGCTGTTTCAGCCCATCTACAAGCAATTGCAGCTCTGCAGCCCCAACTGACTGTCCATAGTTGTAATACCTAAAACGATAAAAAAGGAATGTTAAATGGACAAATTATGAAAGTGGACCACATCAGGTAAAGTAGATACATACAGTATATTTTCTGTTACTATCTCTGTGACTATAGGAAGTCCCTAGTGCCTATTTCCAGTTTACCTGTAATTCAATAAATTTTCTCACTGATGGTAGGATAGACTGCTATATCAATCTAGGCCTCATTTCAAGAATTGAAGATTTTGAAAGGAGAAGCATGCTTCATTAAATTAAAACCCATAACTGAAGAGACACATTGGCTTTCATATTAAACAACAAACACTCAGGTGCATAATTTTTTTTTATAAATTTAATTATAAATTTAATTAAATTTATGTAATTGTAAAGTTTCAGAAAGGAAAAACAGAACCCTTACTGAATACAAAAGTACATCTTGTATCTATGTTAGTTATGGTTAACATATTGCCTTTTACAACATTTTTTGAGGATTTCAAAGCATTTAAAAATAATAAATACTTAGGCTGGCAATTGTACAAAACTGGAAGCAGAATCATAAATACAATCAACAACTTGAAATTTCCAAACCTATACTCCAACTTCAATTCATGAATCTTGAATAAAAAGACATTTCCTCTCCTATGGCAGATGTATTTGATACTACTGAGACAAACTGCACTTAATAGCATCAAGGTCAGGCCAAAGATTTATTTAAACGGTAGTACTGTTTTGACCTTAGTAAACAAATTATCACCAATTTTTCTGCCTATCTTTAAAAAGATTGCAAAAGGTCTGAGACAAGACAATAACTCAGAGTGTTTGTTTGGGTTTGGTTGTTGATTTTTTTTTAATGGGTTTTGGGGGAATTTTTTCGGGTTTTTTCTGTGTATATAAAAAAAAAGGAATTTAAAGCAAAACACCTATTCTCAGACTGGAGCTTTTGCTTAAAGATGATTAAATCTGATTTTGGATGCTGTAAGTGACTCAAGGACCTGCTAGATTTTTCAGTTTTCTCCTGTTCTTGAATAAAATTTCACATTTTCTAATTTATTTAACTGAAGAATTATTAGGAAAAAGACTGTGGTATTTGTCCACATACATGCAGGCACAAGCCTTTACTATAACTTTGCCAAGAGCTTGACAACAAAGTCATCCCTTGTTGCAGTTCTGTTCTCCAAGTGCTTCTGCTTATATGTACATCTATATGATTATAGAATAAAATGAAACAAATACTTGAGAGGAAGTTGCATTTATTGCAAACTAGAACCTCAATTTCAGTCCACAAGAAGCAATATGAGATGATCAAGGAATTTTATACCTAAATTATTTCATACCAAAAAGACAGTGTGCAATTTGCTCCAGTTTGCCTGAACTTTGGGCTTCGTAGCCGAGCTATTTGTGAAATGCTGTTGCTGCTCTTCAGAATGAACATAAAATGACCTATTAAAATAAAACAGAAAACAACTTTTCAGGCTGAAGAAATAAAGGGTTTCTAAAAATTTTTAAAAGATTCATGCCTTCCACTTTAAATCTTGTTAAAGAGCAGATTTATCAACTCCATTTCTCTGTTTTCTAGGCCTGACTTTTCTTACCTTCAGGTTTGTTGTAGGTGTGATCCCATGGAGGAGCTTGCTTCTGAAACACAGGTGGAAGAGCACTACTGGAACTTCTTACCCAGTCAAATTCATCTCCATTTACAGTTTCAATCCAGCCACAGCTCTCTCTTTCAAAGTCACATACAGCAGCTGAAATGAAGACATATTCTATTTCTTTATCTAACATTACTAAACAAGTTTTTCCAGTATGAAAAGGAAATAAAATGTTTCTAATACAACAATATTCTAGAAATACATCTAAGAAAGGGTCATGGAGAGGCAGAGTGTGGCTTCATAGTAGAGATGAGGTATTTGTTTAATAATAGCTGGGAAAACCCTCAGCCGAACAGGAACAACCAAGCCATCACCATCCGCAATGTGTTCAGTAAAACAACTCCTTGCCTCTTAAGGTGCTGCAGTCAAAGTACTGAAAGAACGTGAGGAAGTGCTGAAAACAGACCTCACAATCCTCATGCTACAGAGCAAGAGCATAGGGCACACAAAGCGGTAACAAACCTTCTGCAAGACCTTTTAGGGAACAGATAATGGAACTAGAAATCAAAACCCCGATTTCCTGAATGTCAGCAAGCATGCCAATGGTGACAAAACCCTTCCTCTATTCATAATGGGAATTAAGTTAAGCATCAGACATTACTGAGACACTATGATATCGGTAATCCCCGAAACAAAAACTCTGCAGTGAAAAAGATCTGAAAAACATATTGAGGTGCGTTCTTCAATTCTTCACTTCAAAGAGCAGTGATATTTTAGAAAATATGTATATTCCAAACGAGTGAAAGAAAGGAGTGGAATGGTGTCATGTATGAATGAATGTAAATTGAAAAATATTGATTATGTTATAATGAAGAAACACGGAATTTTAGAATGGTTTGGGTTGGAAGTGACCTTGAAGATAATGTAGTTCCAAACACCCTGCCATGGGCAGGGACACCTTCCACTAGACCAGGTTGTTCAGAGCCCCATTCAACCTGTCCTTGAACACTTCTGGGGATGGGGCATCCATAACTCCTCTAGACAACCTGTTCCAGTGCCTCACCACCCTCACAGTAAAGAATTTATTCCATACATTAGATTTTGCTCTTCTTCATTTTATAAGAAATCTTCATAAAATAATATTATTATCTTTTAAAATCCTGCAATTATAAGAGGCTTTTAATGAAGGAAATTAGGAAAATTACTTAAAGATTTTTTAATCAATAATTTATCATATACCTAGAATAAATAAAACAAATATTCAGGCATGACTGTCGGAATTCTACCTTTTTTTTTTTTTAAACTCTTATCACAACTTTCAGTGGTCATATTATGATATTCATATTTCAGAATATTCATATTTCAGAATCATATGAAGTCTCTTGGGGAATAGGATTATATCTGTGTTTATTTATGGAAGATATGGGAGGATTTTTTATTCGTTTGTTTTGTTTTGTTTTCCTCTTTAGAAACTGTGCCACATTGTTATAAATAAATTTTTAGAAAGAATAAAAAATTAATAATGAGGCAAATTAGTATTATTGTTGTCTGTGGCCTCTAAAAAGACAAGGCTTTGTGGATTATTAAGCAAAGCACATAGAAATCCACGGTTAGCTTTAAAAAAGTCATTCCACAAATATGAAAGAGCAAATAATGTTTAAGAGATCAAAGAAAATATAATTTTGCTGTACACGTACTGTATGTGGGCCAGAAATGTCAGTGATAAAGTGATATAGATCAAATGTGACTAAAAAACAGAAGGAAGAAATTTTTTGACAGACTGTTTTGATAGAATAAAATGAAGACAAAATATACCTACAAATATTCAAGGATTGAGGCATGAGAGAAATGACTGAAAATCCCCTGACAGAACATAACGATAAGAGAGTATGGAGAGCTATTTTTGATTTGCTTTTTGCTCAATAGAAGAAACCATTCTATATTCCCAGCAGAACAGCAACAAAGAATATGACAGACCTTGGACACAGATGGTTACACCAAATGAGGCAAATAAACAAGGTAAAACTGTGAAGTCTAAGCCTAGACTTCTTGCATCTGTAAGTTGTAAGACAGACAAAACACAAAAGAAAGGATGCACCAGACCATTTAGTTTAAGCATGGATGAATACATTGAGATAAAATAATCCTGAAACCTTCAACTGAATCTCAGACCAACTATTTAACAGCTAGGGAAAATACAATAGAGCAAGTTGGTAGAGCCTGGCTGAAATGCACTTGGATCTTGATGCTTGATAACACTTCAATTACCTAATTGTCTTGTCCCATAACTTCTTCAACTGGTACTTCCATTTTAGGCAGATTCTCCAGAAAAAAAGGCCGTTGCTTGGATACTACTATAGTTTCTTTCACAGTGAACTCACAAACTCACAAATTTGCCTTCTCTCCTAATATGTTAGTTTTTGCTTTTCTTCTATTTCTTCTTTTTTTACATGCTCTCTTACACTCTAAGCATCACATGATCCTATGTGCTCCACCAGGCTGTGTTTCACGTGTTTGATGACTTTATCTGTAGTGTTTCTTAAACTTCCTCTCATCTAGTTACTGCATTTTTGCACTTAACCTATCAAAATTTTTAATATTTTCTAACTTTTTCTTTTAGACTTCACCTATCTTATTCTTTTAACTTTTAGTGGTATCCATGCCACCTATGCAGATACCTTATGCTTTGCTGCCCCATTTAGCCTCTTTTTTGATGTTTTGAGAAAGCTGCCTTTACATCTTCAGCAGACTTATTTTTCTCTGATCTAAGTTGTTACCACAAGGCTCTAGGTTTGTTTCTGTGTCCTTTTCTGTTTTGGGGAGCTTTACTCAAAAGGTCTTCTCAAATCAGACTTCAACTTCTCTGTAATCTGAATGATGCCTAACAGGAATTTACCAAACAGTCCTGCTGAAAACAATATTTTAAAAATAAATGTTTAAGATATTAGCACTTCTTTAAGACTGAAAGTTCATCAATCTCTACAATCCCCAAAATCTCTCCTTGTCTCTCAGCCCATATAAGTCTATACAGAAGGCACCATAAAAAAAAATCCAGATGAAGAGATATTATGACTTCGACTATGACCATTATGAAGAGATATTATGACAATTACTGACTTTTTTTTTTTACTTAAAAGCTGTTTTAAAAGGTTCTAACATGCCAAAAAACTCTGAACGATTTTTAATCAGTAATTTTAAAATGAAAACAAGTTTAACTCTGGACATACTCATCCTAAAAAACTATTTTAACCCCCTTTTTAACACAAACACACTGAAAAGTGTCTCATCTGCCTTCTCATATTTATATTTTCTATCCGAGTTAACATTTAATAATTTCATGATGTACATTCAGTCAAATAAGACTGTACTTTTTAGGTGAATTGGTGTAATTTCCACAGTGAAAAACTGAATAGACGTCAATTAAAAATTATCGTAAACATTCATCAGCAAGAAGCAATGTTAACTGGGGAAAAAAAATCAAAAAGCATGTCACTATTTGAAGCTCAAATAAGTTGGCTTTTCCTTCACTTTCCATCTCCCAGTATTATCTGCTATCATTTTGAAACAACAACAACAACAAAAAATCCACATTTAAAGGTTTAGGGCAAACAGGTATGGTAGTCTCCTCTACAGATGGCTAGAGGAAATAAACATTCCAGAACATTTTCTTTTGCTGATTTCTGTTGGGAAATCCATTTCAATAACCATGAAGTTGTAAGAGACCTATTTGTGATTTCAGTCATGTGGGCTTTTTAGTAATAGACAAACCTATCTTGTACATAACGTCGAGGCATATATCTCTTGTGAAATGAGAAATAGCTTTGTGTATAAGACAGACAAAATATGCAGAGTAGAAAGATTTTGTTATAAATAAATCTAGTGATTTCACTGTGCACCTACATTTTTAAGAACTAACTTCACTACTGTCTCAGAACTTAGCTGTAGGAGTTGCAAAGATTAAGATTTTTATGAGGGGAAATAAAATTCTGCAAAAATTCAGTGCAACTGAAGGGAATGTTCCTGGTTTTCCTGAACTATACAAAAATAAAATCCAACAGTCACTATTCAGACCATCTTGTTATTCTCTGTTTTCTCTGACAGTGAAGCTCATGCAATATTTGTTGTCACAGTGCATAATTTGCAAGGAACCAAATAAGAGGAACTATACAATGAGACTTATTTTTTGCCAAAAAATACTGTGTATGTATTTGCTGAAACAAGTAGAAAAGTTAGACTCATACCTTCTGGGTTCCTAGAAATTCTGAAAATATGTGTGGTCTCTGTGACAAAAATGCCTTTGTTCTTTCCTCCATGCTCTTCCTTTCCACAACCTGTTTCCCCTTTTCCTATTCCACGACTGTTCTTCTCTGACCCCTTCTCAGTCCTAGTATCACTGGAAATCCTCACTCTCTCACCTCATTTCCCCAAATAGCTCCTTGCTCCAGGTCTTCTCACCTAGTCTCAACTCTCTGTCACTTAACTGCACAATTTATACTGATCCCTCCCAAAGCATCACTGCTCCACATCTCTGTCCTTCATTCCCATTCTCTCCTTGTTTTCTTTTCTCTCACCAAACTTTTGATTTTCCATTATTATTATATCTCCTGACACTTTATCACAGGCACCTTGACCAGTTGGTCTTAGTCTTTCCTTCACAGCAGCCTAAATCCCTCCTGTCCTGGCTTTCTCCAGCCTCTTGGTTATTCTCTCCCACATCAGCACGCCCAAGCAATGCCCTCTTTTTAGATGTTCTTCACCCACTGTCAAATGTGTTTTCCTCTCTCTATAAAAGTTATTTTATTCCCATTCCTTCACCATTTAACTACACAAACTGATTCTAGTGCAGTTGTCTCGCCACTTCCAGTATTAGGTACCTTCTCCGATTTACAAGCTGACGATCTTTTCACTCCTTGAATTTAAACTCATTTTTCTGATCTGGGAGTTCAAAGGGTTTGAGATAACAACAGGTTTGATTGGAATGTGTTGGATCGAATTTATAGCTGTTTAGATATTAACTGGCACACTCCTGTGCTTGCCATGGTGCTTGCTTTCCTAACTGTTTATTAGAGCCTAGTGCTCCTTAGTAGTTTCCTCTTCTTTTCATTGCTTGCTGTACTGCTTATCACCTTACTCTACTGTGCTTGGGAACATTTTGA